GGAGTTAGCTGTCTTAACCGTGGCTTGTGTACTGCAAACACATTGATTATGGTAAGGGGCGTTACATTTCCGACGAGTGCTTGCGGTGTTCGGCCAATCACAATGCACTGGGTCAGCTGGCCAATCAGAGCAGACTGCGCTTGTCGGAAGGAGGGGCTTTGTAGAAAACGAAGCGTTTGAGAGAGGCGGGGCATAGAGGACCTACAATAATGTACAGTATTTGAAAAATGTGTTTTTTTAACACTAAAGCATGTCAGCATATTCTGTTACACCAAATACACAAAATAATGATCTTTAAAAAAGCATCATATGACCCCTTTAACTTTTTATAAGAGTTTCTCATTCTAAGTATTAGATGTTAATGGGCTAATTCCAGCTGTTCTGTGGTGGTTTTCCTCTGTAGGACGTGCAGCATCTCAGTCCTGCGACGGATTTCTATAAGAAGCTGGCTCTGGACTGTTCTGGTCATCATGTGGCGGTGGATCTGTTCCTGCTGAGCGCACAGTACTCGGATCTGTCCTCTCTGGGTCAGTCACTAACAAAAAGAAAGAAATAATAGTCCAAAAATATTTTTTTGAAGTGGAACTGTTTACTGAAACCTTAAAAAATGTTTGCATGTGTGTTTTGTTGAGTATCGTATTTGCTCCATCAGGCTTTTCTGGCTCATATAGTCTGATACAGTGAGAATATGGAGAGAAAACAGCTCAGTTTTATTCAGAGACTCAAACTGAGCAAAAATATGAATTTGCTACAGATGCTGATATTTCTATGATGAACTTCTGCTGCTTGTAATGTAAATCAATGAGATCTTTATAACAGTACAGATACTGACATAAAATGATATAAACATCACTCTATATCTCCAGTAATATAAGATGAGATTGAAATGCTCCAAACGTATAATGCAGTGATTGAGAGCTGAAGAAATAAAGGCTCCTCAGAAGATGTGAGATGTTCTGGAGGCTTGTGAAGATCATTCCTCCGCTGAGGAACAGTGAAAGTAAAGCTTCCGGAAACAAACGCTCCTCAAAAGATCCTGAGGATCAGATTTGAGACTCTAAAACATGATTGATGGAGAATCAAGTAAAGCTGAGCTGCTTCAGTCCAGTAAGTGTTCATCTGGAGATATTACTGCAGTTATTCTGACCTTTACTTGATCAAAATCAGTCAAGATCTGACACGAGAAGCTCCAGCTCCAGTTACACTAAAAGAGCTCTGACTAGATAAAACGCTCTAAACTATCAATCAGAGACAGAAGACATGGAGCAGATTGAGTGAGAAACCGATTTAACAGCAAAAATTGATCATTCAGAGCCTCAGAAATTCACATTTCTAATATGATACAGTTGCTTTATAGGGGTTAATCATGTCAGCAGATGGTGAGAATCATTGCGTGTCGTTTACTAATAATGTGATTCATACAAATTCACCAGAGTGAGTGAAACCGGCCGTCTCATTAACTATATCAGTTACCAACAGACAGATTCACATCCCAGTCTGTCCAGTGACAGAAGAGGACTGTTTACAGTGCGGTTCAGCTCTCTTCTGTAGGTGTATGTGTGTAATACGGTGAAAATGGTCAGAATGGATGTGGTCCAGTCAGCACAAATGCATGTACATGCTTCAGTGTGGTTTGTGTCTGTGGAAACTAACGATCGATCCTTCATCTCCTCCTGAAGGCTGTATATCCAGATACTCGGCTGGAAGCGTCTATTTCTACCCTTCATACCACAAGCAGCGCAGCCCGCCTCAGACGGAGCGTCTCCAGAAGGATCTGAAGAGATACCTGACGCGCAAGATCGGCTTCGAGGCCGTGATGAGGGTCCGCTGCACTAAAGGTGTGTGGAGAGGCGAGAGGTGTCCGAGAGAGTCCAGTCTGCTGCAGCACTGATGTGGTGTTCTGTCGTCTGCAGGTCTGTCCATACACACCTTCCACGGGAACTTCTTCGTGCGCTCCACCGATCTGCTGTCTCTGCCCAACGTGAACCCCGACGCAGGCTTCGCCGTGCAGATGAGCATCGAGGAGAACCTGCTGGACCTGCAGACTGTGTCCTTCCAGGCCGCGCTGCTCTACACCTCCAGCAAAGGTGCGAGCGCTCGACTGATCATGTGACTGCTGTCATGTGGCGCTGACTGATCATGTGATGCTGACTGATCTTGTGTGCTGTTGCAGGAGAGCGCAGGATCCGTGTGCACACGCTGTGTTTGCCGGTGGTCAACTCTCTGTCCGACATCTTCGCTGGAGCTGATGTTCAGGCCATCACTGCTCTTCTGGCCAGCATGGGTACAGCCTTCACCTCCAGACACCACACCATCTGATTATTCATCTGCTTCTCACATGACGTGACATGACGTGGAACATATAACCTAAATATATAATAAACTGTCAAAAAACATGATGTGAATAGAATAGAGTAAATATAAAAAAAATAGCAATAAATGTGAATCAAATGGAAAGTACAGTAGATTATGAAATATAATAAACTGTGAATAAAACAGAATAAATCAAATAAACTATTAATAACCGTGTGTGTATAAATAAAAAATAGAATATAGAATAGAATAAATATGAAATATAATGTGAATAAAATAGAATAAATAAAAATAGCAATAAATGTGAATAAAATTTATTTTTTAAATATAGAATAGAAAATATTCTAAAATATCATCAATATAATATAAAACAGAATAAATCTAATAAACTTAAGAAATATGATGTGAATAAAATAGAATAAATATAAAAAACTACAATAAATGTGAATAAAATGGAAAGTAGATTATGAAGTATAATAAACTGAATAAAACAATAAATCAAATAAACTATTAATAAACGTGTGTAAAAATGGAAAATAGAATATAATACATATAATAAAAAAACGTGAATAAAATGCAAAATAAAACCATAATGTGAGTAAAATAGAATATAGAAGGGAGAAAAGAATAGAGCAAAGATTTTTCTGAAAAAATATGCATTCAGATCATTCTGAGTTTCTTTCTAAGATATTTAGAAGAATATAGAATGCATTCATATAGAAGTGAACTGATCACAGGTGAATATCAGGTACTGAATGAGGCTCATCCACTCTGAACTGTTTTATAATATGTTATGTTGATCTGAGTGTTTCATAAGGTGAAGCAGTTGTTGTGCTGGTGTCAGACTCAAGCCTTGTACTGGCCTGTGTGTGTGTTGATGTGCTCTCGTTCAGCCGTGGATCGCTGTGTGACGGCGAGTCTGAGTGACGCTCGTGACGCTCTGATCAACGCTGCGATCGACTCGCTGGCATCCTTCCGCTCCTCCGTGCTGAGCATCCAGCAGCCCGGCCTGCTGGCCCCCGCCTGCCTGCGTCTGTTCCCGCTCTACATCCTGGCCCTGCTCAAACACGTACGTCAGCTGACCCCCCCGCCGTCACACACGCCGTCACGCGCTCATAATGACGTGTTCACTTCCTCTGCTTTCAGAAAGCCTTCCGGACGAGTGGCAGCAGCCGGCTGGATGAGCGTGTGTTTGCCATGTGTCAGCTGAAGCAGCAGCCGCTGGTGTACCTCATGATGATGGTCCATCCGGGCCTGTACCGCGTGGATGAGCTGACACAAGGTTGAGTTGAAGGTGATGGTCCTTCATCCAGCCAGAATTGTGTCAGACAGGCTGCAATGCAAGCAGCCACCGTCGGATAATCAGGTTGGAATGAGAAGTAGAGTTGAGTGTCATCAGCATAGCAGTGATAGGAAAAGCCATGCTTCTGAATGACAGATCCTAATGATGACATGTAGACAGAGAAGAAAAGCGGTCTAAGCACTGAGCCTTGAGGAACCCCAGTAGCAAGAAGTTGTGACTTAGAAACCTCACCCCTCCAAGACACCCTGAAGGAACTACCTGAGAGTTAAGACTTGATCCACTGCAGTGCGGTTCCTGAGATGCCCATCTTCATGAGGGTGGACAGGAGGATCTGGTGGTTAACTGTGTCAAAAGCAGCAGACAGATCCAGCAAGATGAGTACTCAGGATTTGGAAGCTGCTCTTGCCTGTCTCAGGGCTTCAGTAACCGAGAGCAGGGCAGTCTCAGTTGAGTGGCCGCTTCTGAAGCCAGATTGGTTGCCGTCCAGGAGGTTGTTCTGTGTGAGAAACAGAGAGTTGGTTGAACACAACTCGCTCAAGTGTCTTTGCAATGAACGGAAGAAGGGATACCGGTCTGTAGTTTTAGGTTTAGAGTGGGTTTCTTAAGCAGTGGGGTTACCCGAGCCTGCTTGAATGCTGTGGGGAAAGGTACCAGAGTGAAGAGAGGCGTTGATAACGTGAGTGCAGGTATAACTGAAGAAGAAATGGCCTGAAGGAGGTGAGTGGGGATGGAATCAAGCGGACAGGTAGAAGGATGATTGGAAAGGATAAGTTTGGAAACGTCTGCCTCCGAGAGTGGAGATGAGGAGGAGAGAGAGTGTGTATTTGTTGTAGGGTTGGCTTGATACCACTTTTCAGAACCGATCCCGATCCGATACCAAAAATTCTGAGTATCTGCCGATATCGATCCGATACCAGTGCAGTTTTTTTTCTCTATTTTTATACCTCAATGCGTGTTGACCTGATCGTCACTCTTTTGTGTGTTACACACAATCTACTAAATATAGACAACTTCATTATAAAGAAAAATAACAAACAAAAAAAAGATTGGGGGGGGAGGGCAGAGCAGTTGTTAAGTTTGTTATGGTAGTATGTGGTTTTAGCAGTGGAGACATTTGCGGAGAAGGAAGAGAGGAGCGACGGATACAAACTAACATCAGAGTTTTTTAAAATTTGCACCACTTCCTCTCAGCAGAACTTGCACTTCATCTGTCTTTTGAGTGTTAATAAAAGTACGGCAGAATCCGGACCTACTTATTTCCACACGAGAACAGAACTGCACACCAGACTCTGCTGTGAGCTGAAATATCTTACTGGCTCAGCTTCTGTGAATTTTAATGGAAGTTAATTAATTTTATAGATGTCAGTATGCTGTACTAAGTGAAGCCTGCTTGTGAATATTGATTAGTACTTGACACATGAGCTGGAAGGCGGATATTAAATATTTTTAATAATAAATAGAATAAAAAGTAGATAGAAAAGAAATCGAGAGAGCTAGTGTTAGAAGGTCACAAGTTATTATATTTTTATAATAAATAAAAAGAAAACGAGTAGATAGAAGAGAGTGTCACATTCGTGCTGATATTCAGGAAAACCACACTCTTGCTTGCGTGATATCACTAAAGTGAAGAATATAAAAAAGCATGCAGGGTTATTTTTTCCGTCGTAACTTGAATTATCGGTTCGTTCTACAAGGCTTTCGGACTGTCACGACGTGACTCACTCGATAACATCCGCTCGCACATTATTAAAACGACAACTACGGTATTATCTCAGACGAGCAACATCGCACCCCTATACCGTACATGTGTTTTTACCGGAAGGTTTTCAGAAAGCGGTTGTAATAGTGTAATCTGTGTGCATCTGTATGAGTCGACGCGTCAGTCATTCAGACAGCACTAACTCCTCACAGCAGCTCTGGATCATCAGTGAACGTCCCTGACGTCTGGTCCCTGACGTTCACTGATGATCCAGAGCTGCTGTGAGGAGTTAGTGCTGTCTGAATGACCGACACTCCTCTGTTTGATTTCAGAGACGAGTCTCCGCTCAAGGCTGAGTTCATGCAGAACATGATCGAGGATCTGAGTGAATCCGCTCTCTCCTACTACGAGTTCCTCCTGCACCTGCAGCAGCAGATCTCCAAGTGATCCCACAACGCCCGGCTGGAGCCAGACGCAAGCCCCGTCTGTGTCACACACCGTCTGAGTGATGCTCCTTTCTAATGTATCGCCTTTAACTAAAAAACTCAAATGTAGGAAAATGGTTTCTTATGAATTTCTTACGACCTTTGTAATTAGTGCTATTCAGAATCTATATATATATATATATATATTTTTTTTTTTACACACACACACACAGGACTTTTGCAAACGTCATATGACGATGAGCTCCGACTTTTATTTTGAAACGGCCTCGTCATCCACAGGGGACACGTTCTGTGAGGCCCCGCCCCTTCAGTAATAACACACGTTCGCACGGCGACAGGAGCTGCTGATGTTCCTCAGTAAGCGCAGTAGCTGCAGTCATCGAGTAATGCAGGCCGAGAGCAGCGAGGGGCTGCTGCAGAGACGCGCGGAGGTCCGCAGGAGGAAGCTACTGCTGAACTCCGAGCAGCGCATGAAGAAGATCGTGGGCTTCAGCCAGAGTGAGCCGGACAGCGGTGAGTCACTGCACTGCGCTCATCATCTCTCTCTCTCTATAGCTGAGTGTGTGTGTGTGTGTGTGTGTGTGTGTGTGTGTGAGAGAGAGTGTGTGTGAGAGAGAGTGTGTGTGAGAGAGAGAGTGTGTGAGAGAGAGAGTGTGTGTGAGAGAGAGTGTGTGTGAGAGAGAGAGTGTGTGAGAGAGAGAGTGTGTGTGAGAGAGAGTGTGTGTGAGAGAGAGAGTGTGTGAGAGAGAGAGTGTGTGTGAGAGAGAGTGTGTGTGAGAGAGAGAGTGTGTGAGAGAGAGAGTGTGTGTGAGAGAGAGTGTGTGTGAGAGAGAGAGTGTGTGAGAGAGAGAGTGTGTGTGAGAGAGAGTGTGTGTGAGAGAGAGAGTGTGTGAGAGAGAGAGTGTGTGTGAGAGAGAGTGTGTGTGAGAGAGAGAGTGTGTGAGAGAGAGAGTGTGTGTGAGAGAGAGTGTGTGTGAGAGAGAGAGTGTGTGAGAGAGAGAGTGTGTGTGAGAGAGAGTGTGTGTGAGAGAGAGAGTGTGTGAGAGAGAGAGTGTGTGTGAGAGAGAGTGTGTGTGAGAGAGAGAGTGTGTGAGAGAGAGAGTGTGTGTGAGAGAGAGTGTGTGTGAGAGAGAGAGTGTGTGAGAGAGAGAGTGTGTGTGAGAGAGAGTGTGTGTGAGAGAGAGAGTGTGTGAGAGAGAGAGTGTGTGTGAGAGAGAGTGTGTGTGAGAGAGAGAGTGTGTGAGAGAGAGAGTGTGTGTGAGAGAGAGTGTGTGTGAGAGAGAGAGTGTGTGAGAGAGAGAGTGTGTGTGAGAGAGAGTGTGTGTGAGAGAGAGAGTGTGTGAGAGAGAGAGTGTGTGTGAGAGAGAGTGTGTGTGAGAGAGAGAGTGTGTGAGAGAGAGAGTGTGTGTGAGAGAGAGTGTGTGTGAGAGAGAGAGTGTGTGAGAGAGAGAGTGTGTGTGAGAGAGAGTGTGTGTGAGAGAGAGAGTGTGTGAGAGAGAGAGTGTGTGTGAGAGAGAGTGTGTGTGAGAGAGAGAGTGTGTGAGAGAGAGAGTGTGTGTGAGAGAGAGTGTGTGTGAGAGAGAGAGTGTGTGAGAGAGAGAGTGTGTGTGAGAGAGAGTGTGTGTGAGAGAGAGAGTGTGTGAGAGAGAGAGTGTGTGTGAGAGAGAGTGTGTGTGAGAGAGAGAGTGTGTGAGAGAGAGAGTGTGTGTGAGAGAGAGTGTGTGTGAGAGAGAGAGTGT